AAAGTCCACACCATTGAGACCGTAGAGGAGCCTCAGAGATTAAGTTAAAAGGATTAATGATGCGATGAAACAAGTCTTTTATGACTACCCACTATCATTGGCAGTATCGTCCCACAACCAGAAGAAGTCGCCACCAGCAGTGAGAAGAGCACTTTTGGTAGGGTGGGGTGAGAGGGAATGGACAAGAGGTATAGGGGTTGCCTTCTTTGTTTCCTCCGTAGTCTCTCCGATGCTTGAAGACCATGCAGGTGACGAGGGTTTTGCCGAATGATCCAGACGGGAAGAAGCAGCTCCACCCTCTAACACATCCCATAACATCACGCAACAACCCTCCTCTGATCCACTGGCTATCCGTGCATCTTCATTGAGGAAACAGCAATCAATCCTAAAATTGGACAAAGCTTGCCTCTCGTAGACCGCTTAGCACTTTAACATGTGTGACAATTAAATTGAGGTGAAATTGACTGAACGTAATAGGACAAAGAAAATCCTGAACTGTGGTAATTCATCTTAACTAAATATCCTGGCAATAAATGCATTAACGCATTCGAGTTGGCAGTTCTGCGGACTTGGGACACGATCAAGGCAATGTGAGAGCTACATAATTGCGATTGCCTTCGGTCCAGTCCCCTTCTGAGGCAAGTTAATCATCCTTTCGTTAAGCAAATATCAGGAATTGGTCTCATTTGCTTTATCATCAGTGTTACAATTTCAAGTGTTTCAAAATTCTGGACGTTCATTACCACCAGATGCACAGCCAGCCAGCCTCAAACCACTGGGATCCGAGTGGCTAAGCCTCAGTCTAAGAACTTAAAGCCTTTTGCTTGACACCAGTTAGCTGGTTCTCCCATGATGAGCGTGTCATCCATCAGGGACAGTGTCTCACCTGAAATCCTTGTTCTTGTGACCAGTGAATCTGTTGAGCAATTCACCATTGGCGTGGTCAAAGAGTCTAACCACGGAGTCCTGTGATGCCACTAGAAGGCATTGACCGTCAAAGGACAAGCCCACTGAGGTGACGGGGTAACCGATGTAATCCTCAATCATTACGCCTGCAAGAAAAGGCAATTACAGCACCTCGCCTTGAGACACTTTTGATGTTAAATAGGCTAGTTAAGGATGGAGGTCTGTTTAATTGCAGTGCATTTGCAAGTCCCACAAACCCTCCCGTTCTTCCTTCCTTGATGCTGTTTTGTACAGGTAACTACGAAGTAGCGATTGCCGCTCGAATCGTAGCAAGCACGGGCAAATAAATGCTGTGCTAGGTTTTTTTTGCAGTCTACTGGGTAACTTAATGCGGTTCTTCTCACACTAGAACATCAAAGAGTCCACACAAAGTCTCTTTAAGTAGTTTAGTCATTGCATCAGTCGGGACTCATGGTAATAACCCTTTCAAAAGGGGACCAAAACATGCTCCACAGTTCCAACTATCAAGAGTAGGTTTAGGAGTCGTCATTTTGACCTATTTTTTTTTCGAAATTTTCATCCATTTTTTTGCATCTTGTCGTGAACGCCTAATACTAGTCACGGAAGAAACGGTGACCACAACTTGGAGGAGTGCCAGTGCAATGAGGATACCTATTATTTGGTGTTTATTCATAAAAGTAGGCATTCAGTTCTATTTATTGCAACAATCATGGATGTATCTACGAGAAAACCTTTTCCTTAGCCGATTTCCACGGGACAAGTCGCAGACCCAATTACTGTCAAACCTTAAGTGGAAGGGCAACCGCGTCTGCAGTCCACGGTGGATTAGAAAGGAAAGCGGTGGGGGAAGCCCTCCTTAAACACGACAAACCTTTATGCACTTACTAAAAGAATTATTTTTTTTAAGGCGGTTCCAGAAGGTACCTTTACGTCCTTTAAATACTGGGAGCAAAGTTAAATTGGGCTTAAAGGCAAACAAAATGAAGTCATGGATGTTAATTTCACCCAACATTCAATCATGAGGAGGATTAAGTTGTAAATAATGAAGAAGATTCATGGCGAAAAAAGTCCTAGCTATCAAGAAATTGTCAATTTTTTTGTTATCACGTGAAATAACATCATCAACCGGAATTTCATCAATCGACAGGGCATTAACAGATGCAAAGACTGATCTTAGAGCTCCTGGCAGGTGTAATAGCATCCCCTCAGTATCATTTGCCGGATACTGCGGTTCCGGTTTAAATTAAAGCAATGAAAATACTCTATTTAATCGTGTAAAAGTGAAGCTAGGCTCAATCATGTTAATCGGATGGTCGGACCCACCTTTCCGTATGTCGTAAACACGAACACACCGGTCCACTGAACCAGTGATTAATTGCCAACGACGAACAGCAAGACAGTTGACGCTATCCTTTGCTTCGTGCATAGTCTACGAAGATGAGTCACATGAATGAGAAGTGTGTGAGCGTAGATAAGCTGCAAAATGCGTAGAGTGATACCTGTATGGGATACTGTGTGCGAGCACGCGCATCCCAGGCGAGAAGCATGCCATCTACCCCAACAGAGAGGAGAAGGAGGCTGGAAGAGGGAGCTAATTCACCCTCGGCCGGAGATGGGCCAGCAAATCGAACAGCATTGACACGACCCACATGTTTACGCCATCGACGTAGGGTTTGACCCGAGGCAACATCCCAGAGAACCACAAGATTGTCTGTCCCACCCGAGCCCAGTTGGCTGTTGTCGCTAGAGGCCTAAACAGAAACTCAAGACAGAATCAGACACATACCAAAAGATAAGCTTTTGAGAAAAGCCAACTAAATGAGGAAAACAAGCAAGCATCCCTACATGCATATGCTCCTCGAAGTTGATGAATTGACTTTCACTAGTTTAACAGACCTGGACATCCGTGACCTCGCCTCCATGTCCAACGTAAGTCTTCAACAATCGACCTACTACCGGGTTCCACAGTCGAATACTTCGATTGCCTCCAGCTGTAAGACAATACTGACCATCAGTGTTGAAACGCACTGCTCGAACAGCATTCTGACGGCAGTAGACACGCCTAACAGGATGAAGCTCAATCCGACTTGATGCACCCTGTACGACAGTTGAACCGGAGTCCGTGCCGATCTTGTAGGAAAATAATAGACTTGAGAAGTGGTAGGCGAAGGAAATGGCGGACCTATTGAACTGACTAAGAGGATAAGAGATGCACCTCCCTTCCGAATTGGCGAACTCTAAGTTCGTTTGGGCTCACTCTATTATCCATAGCAATGCGACAACTTGAAATCAGGGTAGAATAAAAGACCCACTCAAAGCACACTGAAAAGAGCACTAATTCGCGGTTTGGACTCACTCTTTTGCCTCACTTTCCCTCTTCGGATATGATTTATGCGCGTGTTGGGGTGAGTAGACCAATGGAAGGATAAAAGGCATTCAAATTGTACAAACATCGATTGAACCAAAATTTACTCAAGAAGCAATAGGAAAAGTTCATTCTGTAAAAGTAAACTCAATAACAAATTATGACTGAG